GGGTGGGGTGGCAGGCTGTGAAATGGATAAAGGAGGATGGCTGTGGAATCTCCTATTCTGTGGTCCCTGAAACTGAGGACTCTTCTGAGCATCCTGTGATGGTTTGGGTTGACGTTCAGAGTCAACGGAATGGAGCAGATGGCTTCACTCTGGAGGCTGCTTTCCTCTGGTCTTGGGGCTGCCCTTCCATCCTGCTGTCCCTGCTGGGGTTTGCAGTTTCCCACATGAGCAGTTCTCATTTGGGACTTGGGGTCCCAGGACTTTCCTCTCGCCCTAGTCTGCAGCGCCAGAAACTCTCCATCTGCCTCCCACCAGCTCTGACGCCAGAGTACCCACTCCACTGAGGCCAGGGCCCCCAGGGCCTCCAGCTCTTTCCTGGATATTGCCCTTTCTACCCGCACCCCCAGCTTCCCGTCCATCCCCGTACTCTATAGTGGGCTACTGAGGCTCAGAGTCAACAGTTCTAAAGAGTCTGGCTGGGGACTACTCACCCCTCCTTCTGGCTCCTTGGGTGCTGAGCCCAAGATCAGTCCCATTTTACACGTCCTACCTCCCTCCAGACTCAGAGAAGACCGACCCAGCTGGGCCTCCTGCCTGGACCCCAGGGCTCACCTCCCCAGGGCCTCTCCCTCTGCTTCCTGCTGGCCGAGGCCATGGTGGGCACTTGGGACCTACCTGTGGGTGGAGCGAGCTTCAGGGAGAAGGACCAGCAAGGCTCAGGCAGCCTCCTCTCTGCCTTTCCCACTGTCTCTGGCTTCCCGCTGTGCCTGCCCGCCGCCAGTTCTCTCTCTGTTCTAACTCCCTCGTGCTGCTCCAGCCTCCCCCTAGTCTTCCCACCTATCTGGGCCTCTACTCTCTCAGCCCTCTCTCCTTCAGCCCTGGCCCCTTTGTTTCCGCCTGTCATGACAGGGTAACAGGGCTGGGCCATGGGGTCCCCCTCAGGTGGAGACAGCCTGAGCTCTTGACTAGGAATTAGAAGATTGGGACAGAGTCCCTACAAGGCCACTAGTCAGGTTAGGGGCTTCAGGCGTGCTCTTGAGTCCCTCTGAACCCCAGTGTCCTTGTGCATAAACTGAGGATAACAATCCCTGTTCAGCTTGCTAACCAGCAGCCTTGTGAGAATCAAATCAAATAACGGGTGTGAAAGTGCTTTGCCAGTTGTAAGCCCCAAAGAAAGGAAGTAAGAGACTGTGGGCATTCGGATCCTGTTGGTCAAGGCCCTACCTGCTCTTAGGAGGCCTGGTTAGATCCAAGCCCTGTCACTCACCTGAGATGTGAATTTGGGCATGTTCTTAACTTCCCTGGACTCAGCTTCAAAATCCATAAAACGGGGCTAACAATACCGACCACAAAGAGCAGTTACGAGGTTGAAATGGGATCAAGTAAAATGGCTAGTGAACTGTTAGCTTTATTATGGTGACACACATTTAGAGACCAGGCTCTTTCATGTTTATTCTGCATTCAGCTGGGGAAGGAGGCAAGATTATTTTCATTTTACATGTGTGGAGACAGACTTGCCCAAGGTAACCCAGTTAGGAATGGATGCAGTCATACTGGAACACAGATTTTTCTATTTCAAGTGTCTTTAACAAACAAACACCCACCACAGCTAAGGTCACCAACTCCTACTTTACGTATGTCATCCATCACTACAATGCTATGAAGCGGGGAAACTGACTCACCTTCAGATGAGGAAACTGAGCTGTAAAGAGGTTGAGTCACTGGCCCAGTCACCAGCTGGCTTAGAGAGTACTGGATGACCGTGATGTGGCTGCTCCCGTCCACCTGGCTCCACCCTGTCCTGGCAGGCCACAGGGCCCAACTGTGGTTCCCACTGGAAAGTTCCATAAGACTGAGATCCCTGCAGGAACCCCCGGACCCTCCCCAGGCTCCCCATGGTGCTTCCAGCCCTGCAGGGTCCCCGGCCCCAGTTCTCAGGCCCTGTCACAAATGCACAATGAGCGCTATGTACACAGGTTTCAGGAAGAGGACTGCACCTGGAGGCCCCTGCTGCTGATTCTAGAAAGCAGGGGACTCAGACGCACATACACTTGGGGCAGAATCCTGACTATGTGATTCTGGCAATCTGAGCTCTGAGCCTTAATTGTCTCATCTGTAAAACGGGCTTCTAAAAAGAGCGACCTCTCAGGGATGGAGTGAGGACCTCATGAGGCCACAGACGTGAAAGTTTATAATAAACTCTAAAGTACTGTATATTGTGAGCTATTATCATTTTATTGTATTGAGGTACGGGAATTCCCTCCGAGGCTGGGGAAGACTTAGAGTGTGAGCATAAGAGAAGGAGGCCTGACAGGCCAGTGGAGGTGCCACAATGCCAGGGTCCCAGGCTCGGGCCACCACTGGTGGGAAGCACAGGGCCCTACACGGCCAGGACTTGCCCCTCTCATTGAAGGACCTCAGTCTGGCCTTTGTCTAGCATCCTCTTTTCTCCCTACGATGAGCTCACACCACCTTTCAGCCCTCTGGTCATGCTCCATGGCTGTTAAATCTCAGCATGGTTGGCAATGCAAAATGAGGAAGTGACCAAATCAACGCAAAGCAGGAGAGGAATGACCATTTCCTGCGCGGCTGCTGTGTTCCAGGCATGGATGAGAGCTTTCCTATTTTATCTCATTGAGTCCTCGGGATTATTAGTCCTATTCTACAGATTAAGAAAAAGAAAGAGGAAAATTAAGTGTCTTGCCCAAGATCCTACTGCCAGACTAGGATCGGGACCCAGGTCTGCCTGACTCCGAAGCCAGTGCTGTGAACTGATGCATTCTGTATTTCAACATGTCCTCACCACCTCTCCTTGCCCCCCACCTCAGTCCTGGCCTCCTTGAAGCTTCTAAGGACTAACCTGTCTTTATTTTGTGGACGTCTCGTCTCTAGACAATGGGAGTGAGAGGGAAATCTGAGCTCTGGTTTAGCAGGGTCAGCGGCAGCAGCTTCCCTTCAGTTCCCTAAACACACACGTGTATGTCCCTGCTCCGCTGGCTGGGGCATCTGGACTCGTGTGTATTTACCCACAGCCACAAACCGAGTGTGGTCAGGGACTGGAGATTCCTCCTTGAATTCATCCCACAGCCCCCAGAAAAATGAGGAAGTGACCAAATCAATTATCTCTGACTCTTAGAAGAAGGAGTTAAAAAAATAAAAACAAAACAAAAACCAAAAACCCCTTCCTGGTAGGGACGATGGTGTTGACTCAGGCTGGATGTTCTTTTTTTTTTTTTTAAAGATTTTATTTATTCATTTTTTTCCCCCCAAAGCCCCAGTAGATAGTTGTATGTCATAGGTTCACATCCTTCTAGTTGCTGTACGCGGGACTCGGCCTCGCGTTGGACGGAGAAGTGGTGCCTCGGGGCGCGCCCGGGATCCGAACCCGGGCCGCCAGCATCAGAGCGCGCGCACTCAACCGCCAAGCCACGGAGCCGGCCCGAGGCTGGATGTTCTAATGAACAGGACTTTTTATTAACTGGTCCGCTTAGTAATGATGTCAAATGCTTTCAAGCGCAGTGGAAGGTGAGGGATGGCAATAGAGGTGCCAGATGTCCAGAGCCTGTGTCCTCCACGCAGCCCTGCCAACTGTGCCCCCAGTGCAGGGTCCCCAAGCACAGGACTGCCTCCCCCACCATTCCTGCTGCCTCCTGGGAGACCTGCCCTCCTGAGCAGCCAGTCAGTGCTCAGCAAAAATTATAGTGAGAGCCAATGTGGGACCTGGGTCAGGTCAGTTCCCAGCTCCCCTGCTGCTCTGGGACTTCTAGAGGGGGCTTAAGAGGCAGAGATAGTGTGAGGGAGGTCAGAGATCTCTGAAAAGGGCCAGAGGGAGATGAGAAGATGCCTAATCTGGTGCCAGGGACTAGAGGTCCTGCAGACCAGGGCTCAGAAGCCTGCAGAGGCTGCTCAAGGCTCCCTCTCCCAGGTTTAGAGCACCCAAATGCTCAGGGTTTCCAGGAAGCAACAGGACTGACATTCACTGATTGCCTACTATGGCCGGCTGCTGTGTTATCTCATGCATCCCTCCTCTGAGAGGCAGCAAAGCCTAGTGGTGGAGCATGGCCTCTGCAGCCCGACTTTCTGGGCTCACACCCTGGCTCTCTACTCTCTAGCTATGAGAGCTTGATCACGTTACTTAATCCTTCTGCATCTGTTTCCCCCTGTGCAAAACAGGGATAATGAGTTCCTACCTCACTGGGTTGTTCTGAGGACTGAGTAAGTATAAAGCACTTAGAGCAGGTTAAGTCCTCTGTAACTATACACTAAAATGCTAAATCTAAATTAATAAATCACTCCACCTGTAGCTGAGTAAGGTTAAGGATCTTGTCCAAGAGTGGACTCATACCTCAGCCTATGCCTTCCTCTCCTCCTCCACCTCGCCTCTCTAGTTTCCCTGATGTATTGGCGCATGTGCGTGTGCGTGCACGTATGCGCATGTGTGAGAATTCGGGTGTTACTGAGAATGACGGGGATCAAGGCAGGTCAGGGCTTTTCTTAAGCTGTGCTTTTCACACTTCTGACAACAGCTCATAGTAAGACCAATGTTTTATAATCTGACACACAAACGTGAAACAAAAGCACGGGATATAGAGGGATTGGGTGTGAAAAGGGCAGAAAGGGTGGTTACTTCCCCTACAGGGGACCACATCTCCCTGAGTGACCCTCAGAGGAAGGGTCCAGTCCAGCAGCCTCTTCTTTGATGGTCCGTAGACCCGTGCAGCCAAAGCAGATACCCCAAGCCCCAGGCAGATGGCCCACTGCCCTCTACCCACCTCTGTAGGTCCCTGTGATGGGGAGAGACCGTAAGGAGCTGGGGACAGCAGACTCGCTGAACTTCATTCCATCTTTGCACACTCTCTTCTCAGATGCTTCCCTGTCTGGGGCTCTGCTCACCCACTAGCCGCTTGCCCCAGAGCATTCATCTCCTACCTCAGTAGGGCCAACAGCTGGGTGGGTTGGCAGGGGAGCAGCCTGAGGGATGCCCTTCACTCTGCTTTCAGAATGCTTCCCCAGCAAGGACGTCTCCAGCCTGGGCATCTCCAGCCTGGGTGTCCCCGGCCCGGGCATCACCTTCCAGGTCATCATCCGGCAGGTCATCATCTGCTGGGTCGGCCTCCATGACATCCTCTCCGACAAGAACATGCCTTGTTAGGGCAACACCAGTGGGGGCCGTACCTGTCCGGGCATCTCCTGCCAGGTCAGCGCCAGCCGCCAGGGCCACTGGGGAGAGCCCAGGTAAGGGGGATGCTGCACAGAAGGCAAGAGGAGCAGGGAAGCAGTCCATGGGAGGAAGTCTCAGAGTTGGCACTCTCTGCTCCTCCTCAACCCCTTGGATAATGATGTGTGGGAAGGAGGTGGAATAGTCAGGGATAGGCAGTGGGGGACCTGGGGAAGTGGTGGCAGAAAGGAACCATTACATGCAAACCTAAGACGGTGGAAAATTGGGGCAAATGCTGTAGAAGATAAGAAACTGGACCAGCAAAGCAGGTGTGACTTTGGAGGCTGCACGCTCTGGGTCAGAGTGCAGGTGTCAAGAGCAAGGCTCCCAGTTAGAGACCGGGGTTCTTGGGCTGCCCTGTGGGTCTGCCGGGGAAGCTGGGGTCTGCATCACAGCAGTCCTGATCTTGGGCTCATCTGTGGGTAGAGGAGGAAAGGGAGAGATTCTGACCAGGCAGGCACTCCCCGCCCCCAGCTTTCCAAACTGGCTTACATGATTCAGCTACTAGGAAGTCAGAGATGCCAAATGGGCCTCGGGGACTGGTTCTGCCCTTCATGAAACAGTATTTCAGCCCATCCCAACTTTGCCCTCCTCCTGTCCTAGACTTCAGGTTATCCCCACCCCCATAATACAAACAGGCCTGGAGGGGCGTCCCAGATTTTGGGCCCATTTCACCTTGCCCTCTCAAGAGTTGGTGAGGCACTTTGATGTGGCAGCCTTTGAAAGCAGACACACTTTGTTTGAATGCCTGCTCTGCCACTCACCAGCCAGGTCACCTTGAGCAAGTTACTCAACTTCCATGAACCTCAGTTTCCTCATCTATAAAATGGGCATAATAATACCCAGCTCACATGGTTGCTGTGAGAATTAAATAACATTCAAATGCCTGGCTGGCCCATAGTAGATGCTCAATAAAACGGAGCTGTTGGTATCAGGCAGGGGTGGTGCCATTGTCTGGGGTAGAGGGGTCCTAACAAGCTCTCGTGGGCCAGCCTTGCTTCCTGAGCCCTCCTCTACTGTGCAGACTCCTCTCCAACAGCCTCACCCTCCCTTGCTGCTGCCCCGCTCCTAGGTATCAGCTTTCGCAAGTTCGCCTGGCAGGAGGGCCAGAAACGGCTGCTGCTCATCGGAAGTATCATCCTCCTCATCGCCCTCATTGTATCCCTCATCCTTCTCTGTGAGTTTAAAGGAGGGAGCAGGGGCGGGCTCCGGTCGCTGCTGGGTGGAGTGGGGTCCAGGGTTGTGGGCACGCAGCCGAGAGACAGGAGTGGGGAACAGACACTCCCCCGGCTACCATGTCCACAGAGGGACACTCCTGCAAATGGCTTTGGACCCTGCGCCCCAGACCCTTTGAGGTAGCCGGGTTATGAGTGTGGGAAGTCAGAGGAAGCTGGCCTTGGGTCCTGTCCATGCTACTTACTGTGCAACTCACTCGGTCAAGTGAGCTAACTACTCTGAGCTCAGTTTCTACATCTCCAAATGGGATTAAATTCATTCATTTGCTCAACTTATGACGTGCCCAGTAAAATCTCAGAAAGACTTCACTGGGTTACGAGGAGTAATGAGATACTGGCACAAGGCCTGGCACAAAATCCCACTTTACCAATGTTGTTACTAAAAAAACTAACATAAAAATGCTGATTAAGAAAAGTCCCTCAGGCATTTTTAGTCAATGGGATAGAATGTTCAGGGGTTCAGGCCCCCTCAATTTGCCCCCTGCCTTTGGAAAGAATTCTCAGGACCTGTCCCAGGGCTCTTTGCCCTAGAGTCCACTATGAGCCCACACAGTGGGGAAGCTTGTGGGGAGCAAAAGGGGAGCACACCTCCTACCACCCCATACTCAGGGAGATTACAGTCTCCTGGGAGACATAGCCGGAAATGATTAAGGCCAAACACATATGAATGTGACTGTCAGGAAGAGGTGACAGCTGTGTGGGCTGGGGAGGCAGGGGACAGCTCATGAAGGCAGTGGGGCCAGATGAGGACCTGGAATTTGGGAGAACATCTTGAAGAGGGCATCTGAGTGACTGTGGGAAACGTGGGGGCAGATGGGCAAGGTCGGCATGGGGAGAGGGGAGAGACCCGCTTAGCCAGAGAGGAGAATATACATTTGGGGACCTGGGGGCTGTCTGTTTGGTTGAGTACCACTAGGCCATGTTGCAGAGAGCTTTAAATGCCGGGCTGAGGGTTTTGTTAAAGAGGCAGCATGGTGTGGTGAGGAGCGAGGTGGAGACACCCGGCTGGCAGGGCTGTTTGAGGAAGAGGATTGGGCAGGAGGAGGTAGTGTGCTGGTTGAGTACAGCTTGAGTATCAGACAGATCTGCCACTTACCAGCTGTGTGAGCTCAGCAAGTTAATTAACTCCCCGAGCCTCAGTTTCCCCACCAGCCTGACAAGGTGGTAGGTCACTGTCACGATGCATGTAAAGACCTCTGCATGGTGCCTGCCACATGGCAACCATGTGACGCTCCCATGGAGACTCACTGCCCTGCTGGCCCTCCCTTCCCCACACAGGGCACTGCTCCAGGGGAGCCCCCTGGTGGTCCACTGAGAGCAGTAGGAAGTAACCCGTGGAGGGTGAGATGGCATCCAAGGGTGGTTCCCTAAATAGAGTTATAGGTTTCTCAGCATTTCCTGAAGTCTCTTGACCTTCAGACCTCCCCGGGCCAGGGAGGTGGTTTGACTTGTGTTCACTGAGCAGCTACATAGTGGGGTCAGGACTAGAGCCCCGGCATCCTCACTTCCTGTCCAGAGCTCTCTCTACTACATGTCAAGGCAACGCCTCAACACCAGGCTTTGTGAGCATTCTGAGAGGGACTGCCGAGGGTTCCTGGAGGTTCAGTGCCCAGGGCGTGGGAGGGGGGAGACCAGGGCCTGCAGAGGAGGGGCCAGCCCAAGAGATTAGGAGGGATTGGTGTCTGGCCTTGGAAGGAGCAGTCACACAAGGGTGACCTTCACCTCGGGTGACCGAGAGCACGGTAGGGCCAGTGGGAGAAGTAGGGTTCGGGGCTGAGGCGTCGGTTGCAGACCAGAGGCGGGGTGAGGAGTTGGAACTCTGGTTTCTTAGGCATCCGAAGGGAGGTGTCTCCAGACAGGAGGGAGGACAGTTCCTAGTCTGGAAAGAGATAGGTGTTAGGAGAGGTCATGAAGTGGATTTTCACTTGTGGTTTGTAAAGCTGTCATCTTTTCAACCCAAGTCGCGCATTTGGGAATCAGCCACCCAGAGTTGCTCTTTGAATGGGAAGATGTGTAAAGGCATAAAGACAAGTAATGGAGCAAGAACTAAGCATAGGGGACATCCCTTGTTTAGGGTAGAGGGAGGAGGAAGAAAATCCAGGCGCTTCTGAGGCTCAAAGGACAGCCTTTGAGAAGACAGGACAGGTAATGGTTGCATGTGTGTGACTGTGTTGATAGAAATTTCTCTGCTATGACCTGCAGAGCATAGAGATGAAGGGATGCCGGAGGGGTTCTGAGAAGGGGCCTCTTGGATACTGGAGGAGAAGGTTTCTCTGGCCAGCATGTAGGCAGGGGAGCTCCCAAAGTAGTACCCACCTGCACACCTCCCTCCGTCCCTCTCTCTCTCTCTCTCTCTCTCTCTCTCGCTGGGTGGCTGCTTGAGTCTGCCTGGTGCTGCCCTGGTTGTAAGAGCTTCTGGAGCATTCTGGAGCATTCCTGAGCAGCTTTCCTCTCCATACAGATGGGGGACGAGAGCCCCAGAGTCCAAGAGGGATTGCAGGTCGGTGTCTCAGAACTCCCAGGGCCTTGGGCTGCTTCGTGTCTGGTCTCTAGGGGGCTGGCAGTGACCCAGCTGTTTGCTTCATTTTTTCCAGTCTACTTCTGGCGGGGCCACACAGGGGTCAAGTACAAGGAGCCAGCAGAGAGCTGCCCCAGGCACTCTGTACGCTGTGATGGGATGGTGGACTGCAAGCTAAAGAGTGACGAGCTGGGCTGTGGTAAGGAGGCTGGGCATACACGTGCGTGTGTGCACTCGGGTGACGGCAAACTGTGCATCAGCTCAAATGGAAGGCAATGGACAGAGAATCAGAGGATCTGGGTTCTAGTCTCAGCAGACTTGACTTTGAAACCCAGCTTTGAGTGCTGTGTGACTTGGGCAAATCATTTACCTTCTCTGGGCTTTAGTTCTCTAATCTGTAAAATGAGTGGATTGGACAGATGAGCGATTCTCAGATAAAATCTGACAACTCCCGAATATGAGACTGAGCAAAGCAGAGCTGCTCTGGCGGGAGGGAGATGTGGGGTCTGGAACTCCATCCAGATGCCCCTCCTCTATGCCCAGCAGGTGACCTCTGATTTGCCACCTTTACAGTTTCACGAAGGTCAGTTTGTACGTGGCTGGCCTAGAGGAGCACAAAGATCTCTTTGAGCTCTGGTCCTCAGTGGATTTTACACATGGCGTCTATGCATGGTCCTGATGCGGGTGTCCGCGGCTACATGTCCGTCCATTCCACCTGTGCATTTACGTGTGTTGTTGCCCATGACCGTGTCAATCTTTGACTGAGCCTGTCCAGTGAACACTCAGTCAGATCATAGAACTTATGCCCCTTGTCACTCTCTTGTTTGGGCATGTCACTGCCCTCTCAGGGTGACAGCTCCTGACAGCACTTGCCCTTTTCCCCAGCAATGGCCCCCTGGGTCCTGTTGCATGGAGAGCTCTCCGTCCTGCCCCAGCCCTTTGCCTTGGCTCTGCCCTTATTGAATGTCTTGGGCTTGTGAGCACTGGCTGATGATCGTCATTTCCCAGGCCAAGCTCCCAGACATTTCCCAGGCCTGAGCGAGGAGCATCAGGGCAGGGGTGTCTCAGAACCTTTCTCAGTTCATTTTTTAAGATCTTGGAGCTTCTTGGGTGCTGAGGACCTGTGCTGCCCTTTTCTTGCCCTGCAGTGAGGTTTGACTGGGACAAGTCTCTGCTTAAAGTCTACTCTGGATCCTCGCATCAGTGGCTTCCCGTCTGCAGTGACAGCTGGAATGACTCCTACTCAAAAAAGACCTGCCAACAGCTGGGTTTTGAGAGGTAAACCTCCCCCTGGGGTCCTGGCTTCAGAGATGTCTCAGGTTCTTTGCAAGGGAATCTCAGGCTCATCTCGGAACCTCATATTTAAAACACACTTGGGGACCAGGGCTGACGTCACTAGTCCAGGCTACCCTTGAGTTATTCAACGGGACAGTGGCCCTGGGAGCCCAAGTCTCGGGGCAAGCTGTTTCCATGAGGTCAAAGTACTTATCTGGAGATCTGCAATAGGATCATATTGCTATGCAGCTCTTTGCATCATGGCACCCTCATGCCCGTTGTCACATTTAAAGGTCACAGTGGCCCTGTGAGGTGGGTAGGCATTTGGGCAGGTCTTGTCTTCTTCTCACATGTGGGAACTAGAAGCTCAGGCTGTGCAAACCGTTTAGTGGACTTTGAGCTACAGCAGTTGTGGCTTGGGCTAGAACTCATCAAACGGGGAATGAGATGGGCAGTGGGGGCCAGGTAAAGTCATAAGAAGCGTTGGCTCTAAAGAGTTTAAACAAAGAAGCCAATGATGGTGGGTGGAGTGAGGAGTAGGGTTTATAATGACCTTCTCGCTTGAAGGTCCTCGATTTGCAGGCCACATAGTCATCTCCATCCTCCCTCTTGATCTGAGTTTTCAAACCAAGTAGTTTTGGGGTTCACCAATGTGTATGAGGATGTGAGGAGGAGGGTTTAGGATCTCACTGTTTGCTCTCTGTAGAAGAAACACCTAGAAAACCAGGGCTTCAGTCTAGGACTTAGAACCAGTTCTCTGCCTGCACCTCAGCCTCGGCATTCCGATCTGTGAGAGGGGGATCTGGGTGGTCTCTTTGGAAGACGATGGACATCTTTTGTCATTGAGTTATGTGACCTTATGCAAGTCTGAACCTCCCTTGGGCTTCAGTAGATAGTGTCACTTATTCAAAGAACATTCATTGAGCTTTTATTCTGTGCCAGAGACTACGTGGCACCCAGACAAGATCCCTGCCCTTGGAGAACCTCTGGTCTGGTGTGGGCGAGAGAGGCTTAAACCTGTAATTACAGCATGATGTGATGGGTCATGATAACGATGTGTGCGAAGCACTGTGGGCACACAACGGAGAGGGTGCCTGGCTGTGCTTGGAGAGCAGAGAATGGAGGAGCCCCCTGGGTGGACAAACAGCATGTGCAAAGTCATGCTCTCACACAAGGGCGTACCATGTTCTAGAAATGTATGAAAGTGTCACGCAGATAGTGGTCCATGGATCACCCACATCAGAATCACCTGGGGTGCTTGTTAAAATGCACCCCAAAATCAGAATCTCTGGGATTAGGATTTAGAACCTGCTTCTTGAACCCCCCGAGGTGATTCTTATGCACACTGTAGCCTGAGATCCAGTAAAGCGAGTAAAAGGTTCTCAGAGTTTCACGTGGAAACTCATAACATGGGATCTTCCACCACCTGCTGTTGCCCCATGGATCACAGTTTGGATAGAAAGGGGCTACGTTCTTTTCTGAGCGGCTCTCAGACCTGAGGGTGCATCGGAATCACCTGGAGAGCCTGTTAAAACAAGGAACCAGGGTTCCTGATTCAGTAGGTCTGGGGTAGGGCCCAAGAATTTGCCTTTCTAACAAATTCCCAGGTGGTGCTAATGCTGCTGTCGGGATAGGACCACTTCGAACTCCGGGGCTAGCGTGTTGGGCTAGTGGGGGGCCGTGATGGGATATGTGGGAGGGGTCTGAAGGTATTGGGCCTTGTCTGCCTCTGGCCTCTGTCAGCAGGGCTGGCTAGGACTCCAATAGCCAGCTAGGGGACCCGGGGTAGACTCTGTCTCAAAGGGGCTCATTCTTCTTCCCCTCTCCTCCCTCGCAGCGCTTACTGGACAACCGAGGTGGACTACAGGGATTTTGCCAGCAGTTTCTCAGTCTCCGAATACAATTCCACCATCCAGGGAAGCCTCCACAGGTACGGTGGGGTGGGCCAGGCTTGCCTGTCTGAGCAAGGGATGGGGGTGCTTTGAGTCGGGGCCTTGATGGGACCCACCCAGCCTCCAGGAGCCCATCGTGAAGGTCAGGAGCATCTCAGAAACAGTCCTCACTCACCATCTGCCTCCTGAATTAAAAGCTATTATTGAAGCTTGGTGCAGAGAGCACCTCGAGGTCAAGGGTGCCCCCAAGAGTTTAACTGGTTGCCAGAGACAATGAATCAAACTTGGGGCCACCAGTCAGCCAGGTGTTTGGACTGAAAGCTGCTGCAGGGCATGAGCTTGGAGTGGGGAGGGAGAAACATCATTGGGGTCAGGAATGAGGAGGGGGAGAGCAGCAGGGGGAGTGCCAGGTGCATGTGCGCAGGCACGAGGAGGCCCATCTGGGAAGCATCGTCCTCCTCCTGGGCCTTGCCATCTGTCATCTTTTACACTGCAGCCCCGTCCTTCACTGATGGGGGAGGGTGGGGGGTGCTCCATCAGCTAGCAGTGCACTTTACCCCAGGAAGAGGAGAGGAGAGGAGAGAAGAAACAAGGCTCTAAGGGAAGAAGGGATGGGGAGGGGAGGGAAGTGGATTAGCTGCATCCTGGATGCCTGCTTTGTGCCAGGTGGTTTGCATGCTACATTGCTGGTGGAGCATCAAGGAACTATCAGAGGAGCATTAGGCTACCTGTTTAGCTGTGGAAAGATGCTAGGACAACAAAGTCATGAGCTCAAAGGATGCAGATCTAGCCAATGTGTGCAATCTACCACAGGAAAAGTGGGTGGGGGGAAGAGTGGGGATGGTTTGCACTGAGCCATCCGCATTCTTGGAAAAAACACTGGAAGGGTCTGTCCCATTGAGAGGGAGAAGGTCAGAGTCTCCATCTTCTTGTGCAAAAGGAATGGGATACAAACTTAGCAGGAGTCAATCAGGGAAAGTTTCCTGGAGGAGCTGGCTAATGTGCCCTTTTGCCAATCTTCTGTGTCTCCTCCTGCAGGTCTGAATGCCCTTCCCAGCGGTATGTCTCTCTCCAGTGTTCCCGTAAGAAGATGTTCTTCCTCCTGGATTGTGGCCTGTGTGGGGTGGGAGTCAGGGGGCAGAGGGGTGGGACCCCTCTGGGGAAGATGGCCAGCCCTGAGGGTCCAAGCCAGGAAGAGGGGCTTAAACAGCAAGCCTGCTTCAGGGCCAGGGGCCTTGTAAGGCACTGGGACAGTCTCAGGGTAGAATTTCCCCTTCTGACTCTGCTCAGCCCAGCAACCTCGCTCATACCAAGGAAGCCATTCAAGTCTCCCGGATTCTGGGCAGGGGCCAGAGGACTGGGAGAGCAAGTCTAGGCCAGTGTAAAGCTCCTATATCCATAGATGTGGAACTAGATCTAGAGCCGTTTATTGAGTACATTCTATGCACAAGGCACCGTGCCTACCTCTTTATAAACATGATTGCATTTAATTCTCACTTGGCAGGTGCAATTATTGTTCACTTACTGAAAAGATACTGAAATGTTTGCCTTACTTAAGGGCAGACCGCTGGTAGGTGAGGAGCTGGTATTTGACCTCGGGTTTGACCCCAAAGTCCAAGCTGTTAACCGGTCCATGAGTGCTGTGTTCTCAGTAATGGCCGGGAGGGGGCGCTCCTCTGAGCACGCCGGGCACAGCACTATGGACGGAGTGCCCACCCCCTCAGACTACCACTGGTTCTTCACTCTCTCCTTCAAAGAAAAAAGAACACACATCTGAACAAACTCCAAGGGCTTCCCTCCTTGTCCATGATTTCAGGGGGATGACTCACTCCAGAACATGTTTGCAAATGTTCTCTTGGGGTGCAGGGTCCCCAACAGCACTAAATGATCCACTGGGGAACAATGTGGGCACAAACTCGCCTGTGCTTCATGGGAAGTTTATTTCTCCTATGTTTGGAAATGATAGAGATCCCCATCACAGCGCTTATAGGTCAGGGTCCTGTTAGACTGGGCCAGCTTTCCTGAGCTCCTGACAGCAGCCCTGGGATTCACCATTGTGACCCTAATGCCTGGCCTGGTCCCCAAAGCATTGGGCACTTAGTAAGCATTTGTCCAGTTAATGAAAGAAAGAATGAGTGAGAGGAAAGAGGAACCTGCCTAGGATCAAACTTCCCACTGGATGATCCCAAAAAACTCACCCACCATGTGGGAGCTCTGCTTGGGCAGGAAACAGCCGTGCCACATCAGATTAAGTGAGCAAAGAGGGGTCCCTGGGTGGAGTGGATGCCTTCAGGCTGGGGCTACCTGAGCTTGCCCTGGGCCTGGGGAGCACGGCAGCGGTTCCGAGAGAAGCAGAGTTCACGGTTCATCTCTTCTGCTTCTCCCCAGACTGTGGACTGAGGGCCATGACCGGGCGGATTGTGGGAGGGGCGTTGGCCCCAGAGAGCAAGTGGCCTTGGCAAGTTAGTCTGCACTATGGCACCACCCACATTTGTGGGGGCACGCTGATTGACGCCCAGTGGGTGCTCACCGCTGCCCACTGCTTCTTTGTGTAAGTGCCTGAAGGGGTGGGTGATGTGATGCCACCGGGGGTCAGGATCACCAGGAATGGCTGACAACTGACTGACGTCTCTCCGTGGAGGAGGGCTTTGGTTGTGAGCCCGGCCCCCGTGGGCCAGGCGGAACTGCTGTGGTGAGGGCCGTGCTTTGCTCTTGGTATTTGGTCCTGGGAGTGTGAGTTGGGGGTACTTGTTCTGAGCTAGGCCCAGAATGAGATCACACCATTGAAGGCCCCAAGGGAGAGTGAGGCAGACAGGGAGAAGGACTTGGAAGCCAACCCCTGAAGGACAGGGTGAAATAAAAAGGCTTTGGGTTTGTTGTTGCTTCCTGCAACCAGAACTTATGGGAGAGGAGCCCAAGAAGTCAGGAACACTGTCCCAGGAATGGAGGAATGGGGATTGCAGAGAGGGCCGTGCAATCAGCTTCTGACAGTCGCCAGCCGGGCTTGTCCCTTTGAGCTGGTGGGCAGGAAAGGGCTCTGGAGACGAGGCCTCAGGGGCACCAGCTTCCTCAATAATGAGTCTTCAGTGGGTTGTTTTGTCCCATCTCAAGCTCCATTTCTGCTGAGGATAATACTACTGAGATGTCTCCCACTCGCCTTATTAGATCCTTGGTGGAGCGCAGAGGAGACAGTGGGTGAATACTCACTGAGGTCTTACCCCTCCTCATTATTACTGTAAGGTGCAAAGCGGCCAGTTCAGAATGGTTTCTTGGGGGTGAGGGATCGTGTTGTGTCCCTGGGCTAAGATGGAGGGCTCCCTCCAGAGGTCATTGCATCCATCCTCCTGCCTCCGGGCTGGTGGTCCGGCTGCAGCTCCCTGTATATAGCAGATGCTGCCAGTGGGCTCTACCAGGCAGGTGACTGGACCATGTTCTCTTGGGGCTCTTGCAGGACCCGGGAGAAGATCCTGGAGGGCTGGAAGGTGTATGTGGGCACCAACAACCTGCACCAGCTGCCGGAGGCAGCCTCTGTCTCCCAGATCATCATCAACGGCAACTACACCGATGAGCAGGACGACTACGACATCGCCCTCATGCGGCTCTCCAAGCCCCTGACCCTGTCTGGTGAGTGAATCAAGGCCTGTCACACCCCATCCTGGCTCCTCCCGGCAGCTCTTGGGCCCCGCCTTTGCACTTGGCCACATCCCTCCACATCTCGGGGTCCCAGAGCTTTGGCATGACGGAAGTCAAATACTCATAGAGATCACTTAATGGAACACCTCTATTTTACAGTCGGGGAAACTGAGGCCCAGAGGTTGGAAATGTTTGCCCCAAATGACACATCTTACATTGCAAATTGGTGACAGCACCAGGGCTTGCAATACAAATAGATCGAATTGTTTCACTGGTATTTATTGAGGACTTAGAGGCCAGACACTGTGGTAGGCATATCACATCCATGATTTCATTTACTCTTCACAGCCAATCCTGTGGAGCAGTTACTATTATTAGCTTCATTTTACATTTGAGGAGATGAAGCTTTAGAGAGAGAGAATCCCCTGAGGCCACAGAGTAATAAGTGGCGGCTCTAGGACTGGATCCAGGTCCATCTGACTCCCAAGTGATACTCTGCCCACTCGGCTCTCTGCTGGCAAATTGCTAACACTGTGGTTGAGAACACAAGACTGTACACATTCAAACGATGAATTGCCATGAGGTTGAAGCTAAGGACCCAAATGAGGCTGCAGGAAGGAAATGCTCCTGAAGTGCTTGGGAGGAGATCAAAGAAGGCTTCCTTCATTAATGCATTCACTCATTTGCTCACTTACAAATACAATGTGGCTACTCTATAGTGGGCTCTGCCTTTGCAATTGTAAATAGAACAAAATGGGTGACACACACAGACATCCAGTAGAGGCCAACGAAGCGATGTTGGGGGCAGCTGGGGGAGCTGTGGGGGCACAGATGGGGCACTTAATAAGTCGTGGCAGGCTGGGAGGCTTCCCTGAGGAAGGATAGCTAAGGTGGAGCAGGATTTCCGGAAGCCTTGGAGGGCTCTCTGGTTAGTCCAGCCTTTCCTGTGCTCTGAGCCTGTGAGCTGGTCTTTCCTGGCACATCAATTATGGAGGCGGCGTCTGTCTTGAGTCAGAGCAGTTAGATCATCAGGGTGGTGTGAGGAGGAGGAAACTGTGGCAGAGCTCAGTTGGGTGGGGCAGGCCCAGAACCACGCCCACCCACAGCCACGCCCACCAGCGGGCCAACCCTCTCTGCCCTCCTCCAGCCTTGCCTGTGGAGCCCGGGGCTGTGAGGTAAAGGGTGCCTGGCTGCCACTGCCCTGCCCCTCATGCACACATAAAAGGGAGAAGGCGGTCTGCAGGACCAGAACAAGTTTTCCCAACCTTGTAAAACTCAGACTCCATTTGGCTAACCACCCAGATCCACCTCCCACCACCACAACCTCCCTTAATATTATTTCAATTCTAAACCAAATTAAATAATTTGTAAAACCAAATGAAAGCTATTATAACATTGCATACGCTTTTCAGACTATAGCAGTCTCTCTCCAGACTCTGATGGCCCCCTGGGCAGGGACCAGACCTTCTAGTCTGAGAATCAGCTCAGATTTATGTAGACCTGCGGTCAGACCAGGTGCCCCGAGTTTTGGTTTGGAAATCAGGGCAGATTTTTTTTAAACTCGTTTGGCAGGCAGAGCACTTTGAAGTCACAGTACTATCTGAGAAAACTTGTGAAAACTCACTGATAAATTTAATTCCCTCATAATAGCAAGTGGAATATATAACAATGTTACATGTTTTTAAGACTACATCTCAAAAAAGACTATTTTAAGAAATCATGTTTTGCATTTTTTTGTCCATAGTTGATGCCATCCCTTCATTTATTTTTTTTGTTTACCCTTTAGCAGACGGATGTTAGACACCAATGCTTAAAGCCCAATTTATAGAAGAATTTAACAGCCAGTATCCCTCCTTCCCTCCCTCCCTCCTTCTCTCTCTCTCCTTCCTTCCTTCCTCCTTCCCTCACTCCCTCCTCCCTTCCCTCCTTCCATGTTTGTGGAGCACTTCCTATGTGTCAGGCCCGACTGTAGGTGCAGGAAGCTGCAGTGAGCATGACAAACTATTGAGAGCACTGCAAACATTCTCTGTATCAACTAATAATTTCCTCTTGCAAAATGGAGTTTGGTGGCCGATGTCCTAGTCCATCTGGGGACACCAGTCCTCAGAAGGAGTTCATGAAGCGACAGACAACAGAACCTTCTAAATGCTTCTGAGTGTGGGAGCAAGTGAGCAGTGATTTTGTGGTCTGTGCCTCTAGAGATGTGCTCTTCCCACTTGGAAAGGCTGTCTCACCCTGGAGGGAGGGCCTCGGGCTCTGGGCAACCAGTGAGTGCCCTCCCCAGACCAGGCTGGACACACCACTGAGACGTCATGGTCGTAATCCCTGGGACTTAGCCTGCTGCTCCTTGCTCTGATGGACAGGCATGGAAGAGGCTCAACCCGGAGATCTACTCTTGGTGGGGACAGATCTGCAGCCACCCAGTATCAACTCGGTGCTGGGGAGCTTCCAAGGCATATGCATCTGCCCACGTAGCACCCACTGTAATCAGAATGTTCGGGGGACTCTGGCAGCACCCTGAAAGCTGGAGGGTCAAGATAAAGTGATTGAGTTTCTTGCCTCGTCAGTTCAGGGCTCTGGAAGATTCAGAACCACTCTGGGGGCAAGAAGGGGGTCCTAGGACATTGGTACTCCCGCCCCTCCACTCTCCCTCCCCAGCAAAATCTCCAGCCTCGTCCTTCACTGATGTCTTGAGGTCTTGTTGCAGCTCATGTCCACCCTGCCTGCCTCCCCATGCATGGACAGACCTTCAGCCTCAACGAGACCTGCTGGATCACAGGCTTTGGCAAGACCAAGGAGACAGACGGTGAGAGTCAGAAATACTAGACTGTGTGTGCATGCATGTGCATGTGCGCCTGTATACGTGTGTGTATGTGTGCATGCGTGTGTGCTGATATACGTATGTGTCTGTGTAGAGGTGATGTGTCAGGGTATATAGGTGAGGGCCTATCAAGATGAGGGTTTGGGTAGATCCATGGGCCAGGGTGTGAACGTGTGGATGTACACACCTGCTTATATGTCAGAGCAGTCGATGTGGCAACGCCCTCCAGCCAAAACCACCAGGAAAGCCCCTGTAGTTGAAGAGGTTGGGTTCCTTGCTCATTGCACTGAGGGAGGACACACACCATAGAGAATGGCGAAGTGAGGGTGTTGGAAAGGACTATCACTGGACTTGGGTGGTTCAAAGAAGAGCAGCATTTGTCTAGATGGAATACTTTCAGGAAGCAGAGATAGTTCTATGATTGGGTATCTTAACAGTCTCGTCTAGGAGTTAAGAATAGACGGAGTCTAAAGCTATAATTGGTAAAGAAGCAGCAGCCACTCATACTGGCTGGGAGAGGGGGATGTTTGGTATTTTTGTGGTTTGCACAGTGACCTATCTTGTTTTCATTTATGCTTGAACAAGATTCTGAAGTGGCCGTGTTTTGCCTGACTTTGTCGCTATCAGAGTGGCCTGTCTGACATTGGTTCTGTAGGATTGTTCATATTTGGGAGGAGGGCACCGTGGCCTGACTGGCCTTGCTGTTAGACTCATGCCAGTCGCAGGTGTCAGGGCCACTTTCCCCTTGCTCAGAGTGATGGAGGGGTGACTGGCCTAAGAGTGGCCTTGTTCTGACCATGGCTCCATAACTGACTAGCTGTGTGACTGTGGGCAGGTCACTTCTTCAGCCCTAGATTTCTCCATCTATAAATGGATTAATTATACCTCTTTCGAGCACATAGTTACCGAAAACAAATGAAGTGTTGCATTTGATGGTGCTTTGAGTACAGAAAAACATTGTGCAACCTGTAAGGTTGCCTGGTAGGCTTGTAAGTTCTTCTGTGTATGCGTATGTCTCTTTGTTATGTGTAGTGAGTTGTCTGGTGTGAGGGTGGGTGTGCCCATATGTCCTGGATGGCCAACCACAGAATGGTGCCTTCCACTCCCAGGAGGCTGTGAGTCTGGGTCCTGGGGTGGGGGGGCGGTGGCAGCTAGAAGCCCACGAAGCTGTCCAGAGTCTCACTCTCTTCCCATCCTCTGTTTCCTCCACCCCACTTCACTGAAGAGAAGACATCCCCCTTCCTCCGCGAGGTGCAGGTCAGCCTCATCGACTTCAAGAAGTGCAACAACTACTTGATCTATGACAGTTACCTCACCCCAAGGATGATGTGTGCTGGGGACCTCCGGGGGGGCAGAGACTCCTGCCAGGTGAGGCTGCTTCTAGCTGGGGCTCAGGTCTCAGGACCCTGGGCCAGTGGGGCAAGGCTGGGGGGTTGAGGTCGGAGTGAGAACCAGGTGCCCATCGTTTCCTGCTCAAGAACCACCTCTCCCACCCTGCTGATGTGCGTGCTCTCCGCTGTAGGGAGACAGCGGGGGACCCCTGGTCTGTGAGCAGAACAACCGCTGGTACCTGGCAGGAGTCACCAGCTGGGGCACGGGCTGTGGCCAGAGAAACAAACCTGGTGTTTACACTAAAGTGACAGAAGTCCTCCCCTGGATATACAGCAAGATGGAGGTGAGAGCCCTGCATGGGGACACTGCACCGAGCAGGCTGAGAACTCCCAAAAGTGGGGTGCCTGGAAGAGAGCACAACCTTTCCCCAGGGTCTCAGAAGAAGTCCCCTCTCCCCCTTGCATTTGGGGGTGCTCAGAAAGTGCAGAAGACCAGGACAGGACAGCAGTCAAATATTGGGCCAACCCCAGCTGCTTGTGTTCCTGTCTCTCCTTTTCCTCCTTTTCCTCCTTTTCCTCCGAGAGTTGAAAAAGGGTGGGCCGAGGCTGAGTGCCGGCCCCAGCATCACTGTCCTCCCCCAAGTGATGGCGGAGCTCTGAGTTCACACAGGCCACTGAGAGTAGGGGTCCTCCCCTCCTTGGCAGGAAGCTGGTCTCATGGGGAACTGGGCACCAGGAGACGAGGATTCACCTCTACCTCTGCTGACCCAGGTCACCCCCTGCCTTCCCTGGGCCTGCCGTCTTAGCTGTGAAGCAGGAACGCTGTGCCTGCCCTTCCCTTCTCTGCCTGGGCCAGGGCGGAACAGCGGAGAGAGCTCAGGTGGGGACAGGGGAGGCTGCTCCAGAAATCCAGGGTGGTGGCTTTCTCAGAACCTGCTTCCATCTTTTCCCCTTTGCTGCCCCTCTTCTCCGAGGGGCAGTGCCAGGTGACAGCAGGGCTGAGTTTTAGGCTCTGAACCCCCACCTCTGGTGTCTGTGTTCCCGGCCCACCCTCACCCTCTTTTCCCTCTTCCTCAGAGTGAGGTGCGTTTCCGGAAATCTTAAGCGGCTGTCCTGCTCCACCTCACAGCTCTGGCTGCTGTAAAGACTCGGGCCAAAGTGACTGGGCCATTTGCAACATCATCTGGGCTAAAGGCCACCAGACACCTTTGTTACTGCCACCTCCACTGTCTGCTGCTTCTGCGAATACGCACAAGTGTGTGTGTTTATGTGTGCGTGTGTGTGTGTGTGCGTGTGTGTTGTGTTCTCCCAAGGTCTTCAGAAACCAGGAGAGATGTCAGCTCTTCCCAGACCCCAGGCTAGAAATCACCTGGAGATAACAGTTTGGGCACCATGGAGGTTCCTACGGGGGTGTCCATAACGGATGGAGGAGGTAGAGCCTGGGGAAGAGCCTAAAGGTCACATCAGGAATTCTTGCTTCTCTGACCTTGATTCGGAGACTAGCCCAGAATGGGCAGCCCAGGTGACACCACACACCACTGCTGTCCAGGGACAATAGCAGTTTTCACTGGAGTGCCTGGACTCTCTCTAGTGGGAAGATATTCTGTTGGCAGCACGAGCATCCTGTCCTCTCTCAGGGCTCCTGCTGGCGCCGTGGATGTGGGGAGCGGGCTGCGCTGTAGCTGTCCATGCTGACACCTGGGAACCGGGCTCACTGTTCTTGTTTGGTCACAGGCTGTTGGGGGCAGATTTCATTTCATTTTATTTTTATATTGAAGAAATGGTAGTAGATGTATTTTTAAAGATTCTCCAAAATTCCAGGAGTGAGGAGAGCTAGCATCAAGCACCCCAAGAACTCTGAGGGACTCATGGGAGTCTGTTGCTGGAGACCCCTGCGGAGTGTCCTGGCTTCAAGGGACTGAAGGGGTCCCTTTGAGAAACTCGGAGAAGTGAATCCTCATTTGGGCTGGCGGGCAAACCCAACACAAAGAGAGCCACAACTGTCGCTGCATCCAAGGGCTACAAGCAGAGCATGAAGACATGCGTGCTGCTTCCCCGTGGGCCCCCGGAGTCTGGGAAAATCCAGGCAGACAGGCATCCCTCCTTCCCAGAACTGTCCTGGGACCTTGGAGTTTCTTCTCAGCTCTCTCCACCTTTCAGTTTCTCAGTTATTCCTGAAACAGCACTGACATGAAAACTGCCGTGGAGCGAAAACTGACACTGTCCCCAGGCCTTCCAAACAGGATTTCTGAAGGATCCAAGTTGCCCTGCTCCTGTCAGCCATCAGTGTGCCTGGCCTCCACGCCCGCTGAAGGCCTGGACCTCTCCCAGGGCATCTGTTCCTCCCTCAGTCCCTTTCTTCTCACCTTCCTTGGGCCTGTCTGATGATGCCATGACTCCCAGAGGCAGGCTCCAAGCGGATCAGCCCAGCCCAGCCCAGGCGGCCACTCAGGGGGAGATTGCCCTGGAAGAGCAGGCTGGAGTTGGCTAGTGTGGCTGGGCAGAGGGGTTGGTTACATGTCATCAAGGCTAGGGTTGGGGAGGGCAACGTGCACATCCACAGCCACCCCCAGCAATGATCTTCAGCAATAAAAGTTGTGTTACCTAAAAAACTTTGTCATTAAATGTTTCACTGCTACCCTAGGCAGAAAATTGAGGTTGTCCACCCAGGTGCCCAGACATCCTCAGTTTGGGTTCTGCTCATTTAATCATCCATTCATTGATTTATTCATTCACCCCCCCATATCAGTGCCTATGCTGTGCCAGGTACGCCTGCCAGGCTCAGGGGTAAAAGCCCATGATGGTGTCCTCAAGAACTCATGGTCGTGACCCAGTGTGATGGAAACGGTGATTCAATGTGGACACTGTGCTAGGAACATGGGTGAAGGAGCCACCAGCCGCACCTAGAGAGGTCAGGGAAATCTTCACAGAGGAGGTGAGCTTTGAAATGAGTCTTAAAGAGTAGGTGAGCCTTCACAAAACAGATGGAGGCAAGGGGAACAGCTCTCCAGTGCCTTCCCTTTTTCCCTCCTTCCTCTTTCTCGACATCTGCCTTTGCCAGCTCAGCAAAATCCATGTTTACAAGGAAGCCCCAGTGCTTACTCCACCATTTCCAAGAGAATCGGATGGGTGGTCCCATTGGTCTCTTCTGAAAGATCTATCCCTTCTTGCTCTGCACTTACTTTTCCTGTGTTTAATGTATTGACCTCTACCATTATGATCCCAGTGATGAATGCCCAGTACCCCAGCACCCCATCGCACACACTCATGCCTCTAGCCACAAGCACTGAATTCTGCAGATCTGCCTTCATGGGCCTGGTCTTTGGACCCCTCAAGTTTATTAGCTTTAGTCTCCCATATCAGTGCCAGGGGAAGTCCTTCCTCCAATTCTTTTCTTGCTCCATCTGCACAAGAAGGGATGGGGATGGGACAGGTGCCAGGCTTACTGTCTTAGCAGTAGGGGTAATACAACTACTGTAATAGTTCCCACAATTCCCCCCAATCTGTGGCTTAGCATGATCTATGTGTATTTCTCATCCACCTAACAGTCCAATGAGGGTGTCTGATCAGTGGGAGGCTTTCTTTCACATGATTTTTCAGGGATTCAGATTCTTTGCACCGAGTGACTTTAGCATCTGCTTCCAGGCAGTTGAAAGAGGAAAGAAGACATGAAGAAAGCACAGCCTCTTCTTAAATGCTCTGACTCAGAAGTGATACCCACATCATGGTCCTGTTTTATGGGTGTCAACATGTCACACGGCATCACCTAGATGAAGTGGGACTGGGAAATGCAATCCGTGGCCAGTTGGCATGCAAGAGCGAGCACTCATTTTGGAGGACAACCAGCTATCTGCCCACCAGAGGAAGCTGGTCATATCCCAGAAGCCAGGCCTGGGGGCAGAGAGCTAGGGCTTAGGCCATTTTTGTTCCTTTCTCCTTAGAATCTAGACCCTTTCCCTCCTCTCTCAGGCTTCCTGGGGCATAAATTGATTTGCAGGGGTGCAGAAGTATGTGTGTTGGGGGAGAGGTAAGGTACAGAAAAAGCATTATCTAGATAGAAAAAGAAAAACACATTCCTTAGGCCCAGGACATCTATAGAGGCAAAAATCATGGAAGGTGGGTGATGACACTTCCCAAATTGGTCCAGAATCTCCAGGAAGCTGTGTGTGTATTGGTGGGGGGTGGTGTTCCTGGAGACATTGTCCTATGGTCCCTGGATCCCAGGCATCTCCAGGTACCAGTCAAACTCTCTGGCTTTATCAACTCTGTTGACTGCTGAATTTCCCTGGGGAAGGAGGGGCGGGCCAAGTGAATGTGTTGGGGGTGGGGCAGATGATGGCTCTTTGGAGAAAGAGCCAATTACAGCCTAGCTGCCCATCCAGCTGCCTCCGGGGTTTGGTTAGGTTCCCAAGGGCTATTTTTTCCCATAATTGCTTAGCTGATGTCCGGATGCAGTTGGGACATTGGGAGATGGACGTGGAGAGCTCCTCGTAATCATAATGATGAGGATAATGATAACAATAGCCAGCATTTGCTGAAGGTTTGCTACATGCCAGATGCTGTGCTGAACACCTGGTGTGTATTATCTCCTATGAGCATGAAGTAGGCATTGTCATTATCCCTATTTTACAGATGAGGAAACAAAGGCCACAAGAAGTGAAATAACCCTCCCCAAACTACACAACTACTGAGTGCCAGAGTTGGATTTGAATCCAGGTTCTTGGATTTTTAAAAGCTGCTTTCCAAAATCAGGTGGAGTCCTCCTAGTTGCAACCTCATAGTGTCCACCCCTGGCTCTGTAGATCCTTCCGTTCTCCACGGGGCCTCTGCTGCGGGAGGGACAGGGTGGGATAACTCCCCAGAGAAGGCTGGGCACATCCCTCAGATGTGCAGTTTCCAGAACCCAGGAAAAGTACACCATGAGTGAGAGGAGGACCCCAGCGCCTCCTCCAGCCCTGTCCCAAGTGGATGGTTTCTGGGAGGTCCTCCCATGCCATGAGAAGCTGTCACCCCAACACCTCCATATCTCCTGAATGTGAGTGGGTGGCTCTGAGAGGTACATGCCACTCATTCTCTACCTCCTCTGCACTGGCCCAGGCTTCCTATTCCTTGGAAATCTGTCTCCCAGCCCAAGCAGGAAGCTCCGTACTGGTCTTACAATGGGCCCACCCAGAGAGCATGGAGGACCATGCTCTGGAGATAAGCAGCCTGGACTGTCCAGACAGGAGGCTTTATTAGATGAGTCCTCTGAGAAAGGGAGTGCATGGCCTGGTCTTTGATCCTCCACAGTTCAGCTCCTGCCAGTGGGACATGCGGGCATAACAGGATGTCTCCTCTGTCCAAGCCCTGAGTCCCAGAAGATTTTCTTCAATTTTCCTACAAGGAGGGAACTGGGAATCTTCTCTGAATAATTCTTTCTAATTACACTGTGTTGTAGTGGAGAGAGCACCAGAGTTGGAATCGAAGTACCTGGAGGTACAAATTCGAGCTCCACCACTTATACAGCTACGTGATGTTGGGCAAGCCGCTCTCTCTGTTTCCTCATGTGTAAAATGAGTGTATCTATCGCCCATGCTGTCGCAGGATTGAATGGGATGGTACATGTAAACACACAGAGCAAAGTGATTGGCACATTGTGACCGCTCAACAAATGTTGAATTTGCAGCAAAAAGGCCAGATCCTTCACTCTATATCCCTTATCTGCAAGGAGAGATAGAGGAGAGAACTTTGGATAAATCCTCAGGTCTTAGGAAATTTGCCATTTCTCTGCATAAACTTTCCTCTTAGTCTCATAGCAATGGATGATCTTCCATGGAGGTGACACTACCACCTGAGGCAGATGGGTGTCCCCTGCTGGTGGTTTCTTTAAGTCATGGAGCTTCACTGAGTTGAGCTCACCTGCCCTCTCTTGTCACTGATGGGACCAGGATGGCTACCTGGCCCTGGCCCTTTTCTGTTGGTGTCTGACTGCTTAGCCAATGGAGCTGACAGTTCAGGGCTGTGAGGGGCACACATCCTTGTCCCCCATGACTCCTCACTAACTCCAACTAATGTCTGTGGAGCCAGCAGGAATTTACTCCATGTCACTAAGGAACAAGAAATGTCACCTTTCTTTTTAAAAGTAGATTAAAATCTGATTTTGGACTGATGCAGCCTGGCTGGAAAACATCCCTCATCATGTTCTTCCCCAGGAAGCATAGACTTGGGAGAGCATCCCCACTGCTCTCCAGGCTGGGTACTCAGACTGACACCTTCACAGGCACCCTCAGAGGACTTTACAGATGAAGAGAGTAGCTCATAAACCTGCTGCTCTCGGTACCCCCAGTCTCAGAAATCCCTCTCTCTCTGATCCTCTCTCTTCAACCCCCAAAGCCCTTCTCCTTGCAGAGAGCCCAGGCCTGTCTCTCTTATGAACATTGCACAAAGGGCTATAAATTTTCTTTTGGGTCATTTTGGGTCAAAGCCATTCCCTCCTGATGAGATCATGGCAGAAATCAAGATGAGCATAGATTTCAATAATTGTGTATAGATTTTCATGTAGCCTAAGTTTTCATTCCTCTAGGATAAATTACTATAGGTGGGATTGTTGGGTCATATGGTAATCACATATTTAACATTATAAGAAATTGCCAGGCTGTTTTCAGAGGGCCTGTACCATTTTGCATTTCCACCTGCAATATAAGAGTTCCAGTTGTTCTGCATCCTCACTAGTCATTGGTATTGCCAGTATTTTTTTATTGTAGCCATTCCAATAGATGTGTAGTGGTATCTCATTGTGGTTTTAATTAGCACTTCTTTAATGACTAATGATGTTG